GCTTCAATATTTCAAGATTTGGGTTGAGATGTTCATGAAGAAGCAAATTCTATGTCGAATAAAGTATCTAATATTTTTAAACAAGTGGTAAAAGATGTACTTGGATAAATAAAAAGTTTTTATAAATAAAAAATAGTTGATGGTGAAATAATAATGTGTAAGAAAAGATAAACTATAAGAAGCTATAATATAAAAATTGATTTAAATGTAAAAGTAGTTGATAGTGAAATAATAATGTGTAAGAAAAAATAAACTATAAGAAACTATAATATAAAAATTGATTTAAATGTAAAAGCTTAGAGAACTGGAAAAAATATAAAATGACGCATAGGAAGTCTAAGAGAACAATCTATGACACTAAAAATTTTGTTTGTAATGATCTTTATAAAAAATTAGATACTCAAGGGAGTGAAAAATATATGTATAACTAGTCAAACAGAGAAAAAGAAAGTAAAGATTAAACTCAAGTAAAGTGTATTAAAGATGAAAATTAAAAAATGATTTTCTTAGCAAAAAATATTCAACATAAGTGGGTCAATTATTTTGATAATTTTTTTAACAAATTTCTGAAAATATGATCGACCTCAGCGATCTTAATATCATTAATAATAATAAAATATTTCATTTTTGTCGTTGCGTTAGTAAAAAAAACACAACGAGGCATTAAATAAAATAAAGGGAGGAAAGTCTATAGGACCTATGATATCCCAGTTAAAGTGTGGAAATAAATAGGAGATTTGGGAGTTTCTTGGCTTACTAAACTCTTTAATATTATTTTAAAAACTAAAAAGATACATGAGGAGTGGAGGAAGAGTATTTTGGTCTCCATTTTTAAAAATAACCTGGCAGGTCTACTATGGAAGCTATACATTAATTGAGAGGTTTGATGGAGAAGTTCAGAGATAACAAGGAGAATCTACATTTGATTTTTATTGATTTAGAAAAAGTTTACGATAAGGTTCCAATAGATATCCTTTGGAGTGTTTTAGAGAAGAAATATGTTGATATGACTTCTATTCAAGTCATTAAAGATATGTATATTAGAGTTGTTACTTGTGTTCGAACAGGAGGAGGATTGACCAAATACTTTGTTTTTTCATTGGATTATATCAGGGATTGGCTTTAAGCACATATCTTTTTCTTTAGTCATGGATGCTCTTACTAGACATTTACAGGAGGAAGTACCTTGGTGCATGCTTTTCGTTGTGATATCCTTCTCGTGGATAAGACTAGAAAGAAATCTCAGGAAAAACTTGAATTATGGAGGTTTACATTGGAGTCTAAGTCCTTCATTTGAGTAGATTTAAAATTGAATGCATGGAATGTAATTTTAGTAGGAGTAGCTCTAACGACAAAGTTGTAACTATGGGTGATTAAATTATTTAAAAGTGTGAATGTCTTAGATATTTCGGGCCTATTGTTTAAAGTGATGGTGGTATGGATGGGGATGTTGTTAGTAGAATTCAAGTTGGTTGGTTGAAGTCAAGGAATGCTTCGGGCCTATTGTGTGATAGAAAAATACCGCTCAGACTGAAAGGATATTTTCTTAAGATGGTGGTGAGACCTGCAATACTCTATAGCGTTGAATGTTGGTCTTTAAAAGAGAAGCATAAGACTAGGTTAAGTATTGCCGAGATAGAATGCTTAGGTGGATGAGTGGCTTTACACTTAGAGACAAAATGTGAAATGAATATATCTGTGATAGGGTTGGTGTAGCTCCAGCGACAGACAAAATTAGAATTGGTCCCGATTAGGAGAGTAGATGTTTTAGATTTGACTTATGTTAAGAAAGACGGAGGTAGACCTAGAAAGACTTGGGCATATTGTATAAAAAAAGATATTAATTTATTAGAATTAAATGAAACCATGACACTCAATAGGATGCAATGGAGAAAAAGGGATACTTAGGGGGACAATGTTTTGTTGTTGTTGTTGTTGTATGAGTGATGCCACAATAGTTACATTTAAATGTAATCTCCACCTTCAGGTGATTTTCCTAGCTTTGTGACATGATTTCTCAACGGTTTATTTTCTTCTATATTAAAGTTAGTTGAAGCCTCACCACTTCTAGATGCATCTTCAGTTTTTCTTATACATGTAAAAAATAATTTACCATTTGAATGAGCTAAATCACAATTTGTCGAAAGAAAAAATTTCAGTATTGATTAAATATAATGCCAATGCTTATTAAGTTCCAATTCAAACAAAAGTTGCCTCATTTCATCAAGCACCTGAAGTTGTTGAAGGTTGCAAGAATGTCGTATTAGAAGCTGATCCTAATGCCATTATCTGTTTCTTCTCTCAAGGACTAGAACGCAAACAATGAAAAGCACATTTATCAGAATGGAAAAGGTTATTGGAGCTGCGAAGAAATACAAGCCCAAACAAAGATATCAGGTTCTATGACAACATGAGGCATTAATATTCATGAAGAATTTTAACACATTTTGCTTTTAGAAAATATATACATCTCAGTTTAGTGAAAGATATGAAAAGAATCAGAAGTTTACCATAAAACAGTAGGCTGGAAATGAAGGAGGGTACCAAGCATATTGATAAGAGGGAAAAAGATCACCAGATTAGATATAGCTAAGGTAATGTGTGTTTGAAATATAGATAAAGCATGTAGCGTCAATAGACTCGATACCAATGCAAGTTTAAGAATGAAAACAGGAAATGATTTCTGTTCATCACCACCATTGAAAATTTATGAACAGTACTGAATTGGCAATATGTGTTTACATGTAAAGATAATAACATAAACGCTATAAAAATTTACATAAAGAGTAAATGAATTGAGTTCCTTAAATTAAAAAATGAAAGAAGTGCCATATGGTAAATGTCAAAAGCCTAGATGGTTGTCGGTTGTTGGCAGAGGAAAAGGGCGGCAGAGAACCATCAATGAAGTCAAGCATTCAAGTGTGGTGGACTATAGCAAAGCGCCAAAGCCATATTGAGGCTCTCAAGGGCAAGACCGAGATGGAGGGCCGGGTGGGTCGCTGGACCCTGGACCGACTAGACATGGGAGTTAAAACCTTAAAATATAAAATGTCATGAGTAATAAATTAATAAAATTTTACATGCAAATCACCTTACAAAATGTGTATCTTAGTTTTTTTTTTAAGTTAAAATGATGATATTTTTGATGTAAAATGCAAGATTTTTGTAGCGTAAATATAAAAAAGTAAAATTTAGATTTTAGATTTGTAAATACATAAAAATTAGGTCGAATGTATGCCAATACCCTCTAAATTAAATGATTAAATATGAAGTGAATCAAGTTAGAGGAATGTTTCTTGGCAGATTTCCTTTTATGTAACTAAGCTCAAGTCAACTTGTGAGCCAACCTAGACTCGTTTTGATAAATGACTCGAGCTGAGCTCAAAGAGTTAACAAGCTAAGATCAAACCAGCCCTCAAATCGGCTCATTAGCTCTCAAGTCAATTTATTTAAAAAAACATTAATATAAAATACACTCAAATTATGTTAAATAAATAAATTTATTTTTAAAGTAGTAGAAATATAAAAAAATATTATATTATATGTCAAATTTTTTTTATTATTTATTTTTTTAATATCCCTTTTGATTTTATTTTTTATAATATTATTTTATAATTTTATGTGGGATTCGAATTAATAAAACTAAGGTCGAACTCAAATTAAAATTAGATTAATTAATTAAAAAAACTAAAAGTGCGAAGAGGGGGAGATTAACCGTTTACGCTGATGCATACCTACCTCCCCAAGCTAAATCCGTCCTGAACAGCGCATCCGCATTTGATAGCTTCTGCCTATAAATACAGCGCAGTTACAGCCTTGCCGTCTCCGATCATCAAAAGGCGGGGCGTTCTCACATTTCACTCTTTAGGGGCTAGAGGCGGTCGTTGCAGAGCCGAGGAAGTAGCGGGTTTTGGTCTAGGAGAGAAAGACTCTGGAGGGAAGAACCTGAAAGAGGGAGTACGTGGTTCTTTTTATGCATCAGAAGGGAAAGTCGCATAACCGCAGATCCAGATCTTTCTCCAGATCTCGCCTCGCCATCGAGGGATCGTAGCATCTGCGGCTTCATTTAGGTTTGGGAATCGTTTGTAATCCTCACAGCAAACAATGGCAGCTGCCAATGGTGAGATAGGATCCAAAGAACATATTCATGGACTCTTTCTGCTCTTGAGCTTCTTGCTTTGTTTCTTTATCTGAATGCTTGCCGATCTTGATTGGCAGGATCGGAGGAGCGTCTGGCACAAAAGAGCTACTGGATAGAGCACTCGAAGGACCTCACTGTAGAAGCGATGATGCTCGACTCTCGTGCCTCTGATCTTGACAAGGAGGAGAGGCCTGAGGTAATGTGCTTACCACTTAATGTGTATCTCTTAAACTGTACCTTACCTCCGTCATGGATTCCTGAAAACGTGTTAAATCGGAGCTGCGATATGATCTAGACCGAGAGATTTTAGTTTCGATTACATGAACTTATTTTTTCTACTTTGAAGCAATGTAAGACGCCTACGATACAAATGTCAATTCTCTTCATGTGATGCTTTCTGATAATGTTTTTGCTAGATGAATTAGATCACTTATAATGTGGACATACTAAGATCTCTAACTTTCTAAACAGGTACTTTCGCTCCTTCCACCATATGAAGGGAAATATGTTCTTGAACTGGGGGCTGGAATTGGTCGCTTTACTGGCGAGCTGGCAAAACATGCTGCCAATGTTTTAGCTTTGGATTTTATCGAAAGTGTGATTAAGAAGGTAATCTAACTTATCTTGGTTAGAGTAAATAATTGCAAGCTATAGAACCTTATTTTGAAGAAATATCTGACTTGATTTCTCCTTCAGGAGCATCTACCTTAATGGTTTCCTTAAATTTGTTGCATTTGCAGAATGAAAGCATCAATGGCCATTTTAGGAACACAAGTTTTATGTGCGCTGATGTAACATCTCCGGAGCTGACTTTTGGAGAAGGATCTGTAGATCTCTTATTCTCAAACTGGTTGCTAATGTATCTTTCAGATGATGAGGTGATCTATGAAAAGCTTAGGTTGATTTATTCCTAAATTATGTGTGTTTTGTTTTTGTAAAATTTTAAGTTGAAATGTTATTCTTTCTCCTACTGTTCATAAATCATAATTAAAATATTTGGTGTGAGAAAAGATGAATACTGTTTTTTTTATCAGGACAACAATAATATTATTTATTTATAGAAATGAGCTATGTCAGGATTGGTTTGATCTTTCAATCAATCTCTAAAAATATGCAATTCAAGATTTTGGGATGCCCTAATAAATAGAGAATAAAGATAAAATATAAAATCTGTACATCTCAAATTTAGCTATTTTACAAAAGTACTAATTATATTTGTGGATTTAAGATTTTCAATGGAAGGCATTTCTTTTACTGACAAAATTACTTCCATTTGCACAGAACTTTGTCGGTCTCCGTGTCACCCTTGATATGTTGGCTGAAGGAGATACTGTGTTTATTACTTCAATAACTATGACTTCAAATAAGTAATTTAAAATGCTTTTTTTAAGAAATAGTATCAAACGAACAATCGTCTTTATTTTTAAAGTATCATGCAATAGCTAAATATTAATGGTGGAGAAGACTTAGCTGTGGACTTTATTGTTTGTTGGTTTATATTCTTTTAATGGTGATCTAACAATGATAAAGCAAGTTTCTTTGATAGGAGTTGTTAGATCAGCACACTTGTTTGATTGAATGCACTTGTCAGTAAAGAACTCGAGAACACGATAAATAAAATCTGTTCATATCATCCACATTTACATAAGATTCAATAATATATATAAATATATATATATATATATAGAGAGAGAGAGAGAGAGAGAGATAAAATAAAAAATTTTCATGTTTACAAGCTTGTAACATTCATACTGATATGACATATTATTAAAGAACAGATGTATTTGAATAAAATTCTGTTATTTAATTAAATCAATATCAATAGTTAGCCATGCAATTGACTTAAAAAGAATCAAATATGCTACTATAATTTAGAAATGAGAGTGCTACCTCATTTCTTAATGACTTGTGTTCATCTTTTTGTCATTCATATCATTTAAGTTGGAAAACTATAGTTATTCACTTAATACACCGCATTAATTAATTTCATATAAAAGCACATTTCTTTTCTCTCCTAATTTTTAAGATTTTATTTGGTGAACCTTATTTAATTTTAACAAAATGTGATACTAATATCTATTTAAGTTATATAACACATTAAATATTATGAAGTTAAAATTTTGGGTCTTCTTAAGGGTTTAATCCCAATCGTTCATTGTGGTTGGCGCTATTGCTCTTTGGTAGTCCAAAGATGGTATCTCTGATCGGTGTCAACACCACAAATCCAACACTGTTTGAAAAAATAAATATGATGGTTTGATGCGTGATCATCATTACTATTTATTCCTATTGAGCACTTTCTAAGGTGTTAAACTTATTCTTTGCTATTATTTTTAAATAATTTCTATCCATTTAGTTTATGGCCACCTCTTTTTCTTTTATATTTCTTTGACTCAATTTTATTAATTCTTCAAAGGGGCTCATTTTATACTTATTTATTGTCATCTCTAAATCATCCCAGTGATATTCAATCACCATATCTTTAATAGATGTTATTATAATTTCTCTCCTACTATTAAGCATTTTTAAATTTATCCTTTACAAGTTTATGATAATTTCATTTTAACAGTTTTATTTTTAACACAAAATAAATAGCAAGCTCATTTTAACACTTAATATTTGGATCTATGAAATCTTGTTGACTACTGATTGTATAAAATTTTCTTTTAAGCCGCCATGAGATCCGGCTAATTTTGAAGTGTTTTCTTGAAACATTCTTAATCCATCATTTAATTTTCAGGTTCAAAAGCTGATAGAAAAGATGATTAAATGGATAAAGGTTGGTGGATATATTTTCTTCAGAGAGTCTTGCTTCCATCAATCTGGGGATTCTAAAAGGAAAGTAAATCCAACACACTATAGAGAACCAAGGTTCTATACCAAGGTAATGCTCCATCAATTTCTTATTATGAGATGATTATACCCGTAATTGCTAATAAAATTGATTTAGGATAAATCATGCAAATCATTCTTATAGTTATCTGTTTATTTCTCTTGTAATTTATAGCAATGCACTTACTTTTAATTTTTTGTTTGAAATTTCTTTATTATTGTGTTACTTCGTTGCCTAATTTTTTTTAGCCTAAACATTTTATTATTTACAATTGTTTAGCATGAATAATCCTAATAGGTTTAGGGTTGGTGTATGCATGAAATTGTAGTCTTGGAGTGTTAGGTTTAGGATATGGGAGAGACTTCCTTCCTCTAGAATTGTAGGAATTGGGAGAATTCTCCTATTTGTCGAATTGTAGGTGCTTATCTTTATGTATTTGGATTGTGTTGTTTGATGTTTGGGAAATAAATTATTTGTTGCCCTAATTTTTGTAAAAACTTTGTGACGGATCTTACCGATTGGTATTAGAGTATCCATTTCTGGGAGATCACCATGGGTGCTTACTTAGAGATAGTTGTGAAGCATCGACGGGATCCCTTTGTAACCAAATCTCGTGATATGATTGTTATTAGGGAGGCCATTAGGTGATTACAACATACAAGGAAAGCCACGACGTGATCGCAACGTACAGTGACCCGATACTCGTGGCTTTCTCCTCCTTCCGCCCCACCTGCAATAGAGTCATGGGTTTAGCTTGCGGGAAGGCGACGACGGGATCACTTCTTCCCACTTTTATAAAAACCGACGGGATTGTGGGGTGCAAGCTGCAGGAAAGACAAAGCATCACGGTTTACAGGAGTTTCGCTCCGCTCTTGATGGAATTGATGATCGGGATCGCGACATAGAGGAGTTTCGCCTCGCTTGTGAAGGAAACTCGTGATCGGGATCGCGACATAGAGGAGTTCCGCCTCGCTTGTGAAGGAAACTCGTGATCGGGATCTACGACGTATAGGAATTCATATTGTGGCTTTTAGAGTTTCTTGCGGCTTCTAATAATTCCATTGAATTGTTACGGGAATTTCGGGATCCTGGCGTCCAGAGTTTCACGCATGCCAAACCCGCATTTACAAATTTTGAATCTCATGATTTCTATGTAAACAAGTTTGAAAATTGTTCAGGAGTAATGACAGCCAAAAATGTGAATTCTTTGAAGAAAAATTTCGCGGAATAGGGCAGTTAAATCAGATATGGAATGGATGAGTGTTTCTCTACCATGAATGGGAGTTCACAGCTCTAAAAGAAATGATAAAAAAGATAGTGGAGCTCCACACAAATCCTTCTTTGGTTGATGCAGGATCGAGTTAAAGTGTCTGGGACGATTGCGAGTGACAGCAATCGGAAGAATTAGTGCGACATTAGGGCAATATCGTTATCTCAGGTGGATTTGGAGCTGCTGGAGCAGGTGAAGTAATGGGAAGTAGACTCGAACGTCAACACTTGGAAGGAATGGCACAACATCCGAACCGTTGTAATGTAAGGAAGCAAGCAGAATGGCACGACAGGCAATTTGGGGCAGGAGAAGATCAATTTAAAGAACTTTGACCTCGGAACAAGAAACCATGGTGGGGGTGGGACCTCGGTAGAGGGCTGCCTCCAATACCACCAATGCCTTTTATTGCAACAACCTTCCAGACAAAAGGTGATTCTAGGGCTTATGGGGACAAGTAAGCTGATTATAGGGCACACCACACTTATGGACGAAGGGAATTCTATATGGTTCGAGGAAGGGAACCCCACCCCTGCATCGTGGGGGGAATGAACTTAGGGCAAGGGAATTAGGGGAAGAGACTCGCGCATAAAGAAATTGAAGATCATGGTCTTTAAAGGAGATGATGCCTATGGTTGGGTCTGTCGCCTGGAGAGATTTTTTTGTTAATGAGGTAATAGAGGAAGAGAAATTGATGTCATCATACCTGTGTTTGGAAGGAAAGGATATAGCGTGGTATCAATAGAGAGAACCACATTAATCAATTAGAAGTTGAGAAGAATTCTAGGATTCATTTTTAGAGCATTTCAAATCACTCAAGAAGGGGAATTACATGCGTAATTTTTTGCATTGGTCTAGAAAGGGTCTGTAATGAAGCATAAGGAGAAATGTGAGATGCTATCTTGTCGTTGAGAGGAATTTCATATGAAGTGTTGGAAGGCAACTTCATGAAAGGGAAAGCCAAAGATTCAAGCATCACTTCTTTTGCTGAGACGTCGAGGATTAGGGGAAACTATGGAACTAGTGCAATTGGTTGAAGTTAAACATGCAATGAAATAGACTATTAGAAGCAACACATGTGAAGCATCATACTGAACTACTACAACCACAACGACACAAAAAATTCAAATAATCGAAGTCCAAAGTGAGGCTTCACAATACAAGAATTATGAGCCACAACCAGAGGCGACACTTAAGCGTTTTATAGAGCCAGAGATCCAGGAGAAGTGAGTCATGTGGTTATATTTTTGGTGAGATGAGAAGTTTATCCCAGGACAACTTTACAAAAATCAAACATTATAGGTTATCACAGTATGTGATGAGGAGGCAGGAGAGGAAGAAATAGAGTAAGCTGTGGTGGAGGAGGAACGCCTTTATTTTTTTCCACCTTGAGGACAACGTGTCTGTTTGGGAGGGGAATATTGTTAGCCTAAGGGATCTTTTAATATTTTATTAACCTAAGGTAAATTGAGGATTTTATTATTTGTGATTATTTACCCTAATAGGTTTAGGGTTACGGTTTGCATGAGATTTTTGTCTTGGAGTCTTAGGTTTAGGGTTTGGGAGAGACTTCCTACCTCTCGAATTGTAGGTGCTCATCTTTATGTATTTGGATTATGTTGTTTGGTGCTCGTGAAATAAATTTTATGTTCCTCTAATTTCTATAAAAAAATCTGTGTCGGATCCTATCATATAGAATCTGAGGGTCTCTGGTGTTTAGGATTGAGCTTCAATGCCTATTGAAATTACTATATTTGGAAACAAAGAGAAAACCTTATGGCATGTGTAGAATTAGGATTCGACCTTCAATGACTATTTTTATGTTTTATTTTTAAATTCCCTATGCCCTCCTTTGAGGTTTACTGTATTTCTGTAATTGGAGTTTAATACAAGTGCCGCTTTCAATCAGATATGGACTGAACTAAAATTGTAATCATTTTTCTTGTCAAAAGCTGTTTTGAGTTATTCCAGTGCTTTATAATCTCAAACCCTAGGAGAGAAGTGTCCAATTAAATAACTAGCTGCTTCGGGAGAAACCGTTTTATATCTGATAAATAACTAAGATGAATTCCCTTATCTGTTATTTAATTTTTGATCCAACATTGTCTGTTATTTATGCTGATTTTATCTTCAGTTTACTTTATTAAAATCAGCCTTTAACCACCAGCTTTGACTGCTGTTTTTCTTTGCTTTTTAGGTGAGTTCTTTTAATTGATTTTTTGGTCTTCTTGTTCTTTTTGGTAAGATAAAGTGTCTATTATTCTAAATGTTTTTTTATTCATTTTCAACTTGTATAGTTAGGATTTAGTTAATTATTGTGCTAGACTATGCTTGATATATTATTATTATTATTATTATTATTATTCTTGTTTTGGCTTGTGTACGTACAAGGAATGTGTTATCATTGGTATTTTAATTTGTTATGAAAACGTGAATAGTTTGTTAGAAATGAATTAATTTGCAAAGCGCTTGCTGTTAATGCAATTTATTACGTTTTATGCGTGTTGAATGTGTTTGATAAGCTCTATTTATTACAACCATTACAATTTAGTCTTTAACTCTATATTCAAAATCTCAGGACCCCAAAAAATGTTATTATGAGAAGGAGACGTGATCATTCTTATCAAAACATGATCGATGAACTAAAATGTAATCTGCACTATTGTTTATGTACCGAACAAAATTTATAAACCTTTTGGCCATACTGCCATTGCTTTCAAAGATTACTGTCATATTCATGTGCTCGAAGCACTTTAATGGAGCCAAGAGTCCCTGTTTATCTCCACAACCTTATTTAAGGCTGCCAATGGAATTGGAAAATTTAACTGCCAAGCCATAGCTTCTTGGTAGGGCTAGAGAAGATGTGGTGATATTATCTGAGGCACAATATTCACTTTTTTGGGCGTGCCAGAGCTTACACACAAGCACTTTGTCTGCCTTGCAGAGTTGTGTGGTATACCATTGCTTCACAGGTGATGTAGTAGCCATTGTCATATTGGAGTTAACCCAAACAACAATAGACAAACAAATATTATTACTAATAAAGTTAATAGATGATTACAATCGACACCCTTGAAAGGAAAATAATAAGTTAACAATAGACTCAACAATCCAAAAATTAGGTTGGATCCGGGGTGGAAGGTGGTGGGCGGGATGGTGGACGAGGTGGTTGGCAAGCAGAAAACAATAAGAATAGTTTTTTGGGTTTCGGACAGCAATTATGCAGTAGATATCGACGACGCACAGCTGTTTGGGATGATAACATCAAAGGGGGAGGGCTAGAACAACAATGTTAGTGAAGGAGGAGCGTTGGAACAATGATGATTGCGGGCATGGGGGACTGAAACAGTGATGGCAGCATGTGGAGGGGCTGGGACAAGTGGTTAGGTGGCGGTGAAATGGTTCGGAAGGGCTGGGACAGTGGTTAGGTGGCGGTGAAATTGTTCGGAATGGCGGGAACAGTGGCCAGGACTGCAGAGGGCGCCTCTCGTAGCTGGAACAACAGCAATTCAGCAAGGAAATTGGATTTGAGCGGCTTAACAACAGCCAAAGGGGCAAGGAAGGTGGCTGAAAAGCAAAAACAGTAGAAAATAGCCAAAAGGGAAGCTCCGGGCGACTGCAGCAGGGAAGTGTTGACCTCAATTTTGGTTGAGGTCTAGTTTTTCCTCTTTAGTAGCCTAGGGTCTAGCCATAGGACTTTTCTATTGACTATTCCTAGAAAAGTAGAAAAGAGACCCTTACCTTTAGAAATTTTAAAATCTTCTTTGCTCAACTTGAAGTTATCTATATTGTTCATAGCCTCTAGCACTTAGTAGGTGGGGTCAATATAGAGTAGCTCGAGATGAGTTCTCATAGGACTGTTTGACCTTAGGGTTGACCCTGGATGTTGGTCTAGAGTTGTTCACTCATTGTTATTCACTTTCACCCCCATTCATAACCTCGAACCCAAGCTTGTTGGCTTTTATACTTCATTCCTTTGGGAAACTCATTTAGATGTTCTTCTAGACCCTTTAGCCCCAGTCTGGGGTTTAGTTAGCACCAGTACATAGAGGACCCAAATGGAGATTCCATTGGTCCGTGACTCAAATCAGGATGGTTGGTACTTCAATTTCACAAATTACCCAATTTAGCATTTTTTGCTCCCAAAACCAATTTGGACTCATCAATTGACTTCAATTTGATCCCAAATTTTCCCAATTTCAATCATAAACTCAAATTCATCTTTCGTATGACCAATCTAATTAATTGAGCTCGAACCAAAATTTTGATGAAAATCAAATTTTGACGCATTTTTGACCTGATCGGCGACGAAGTTACCCGGAAGACCCCAGATGACGAAATAGACTGCGTCGGCGCGTCCAGAACATCGATTTTGCCTAAAGAGAATATTTATTTTATGACAATAGCATGTCTGAGAGGAATAATATTAAATGGAGCGTATTATAATAGTAATAATAATAATATTATTATTATTATTATATAATAATTTCTGTTTTCTCCCTAAAAAAAAAGCCTTAAATCCTAAATCCATCTCTCGCTCGGGCCTCCCTCTCCCATTCGCACGCAAGGCCAAGTCCTTCTCCTCTCTCTCGGTCTCTTTTCTCGAGCCGCACGCTTCTCGCCCCTTACGCGATCCTTATCGCGATCTTATCACCTGCTCTCCCTGAGCCGCACGCATGGGAGGAGCCTTCCTCTTCGCTTCGCACCCATGCGCGATCCCTATCGCGATCTTATCACCTGCTCTATGTCGCCGTTTTCCCGTCTCCTTCGGCATCGGTCCCCCGTGGGTAGGTTTAGGTGGGCTTTTCTTCTCCTTTGTGGCTATAAAAACCCCATTTGGGGAGTTCCTTAAGGTTGGCCGAAATTTGTGGAGAGGAGGGGACTCTGCTAGAGTTTCTTGAGGTTCCTGGGTTAGGTGTTTAAGTTCTTTTGGTCTTTCCTTTGCTTTTTGAAAAAGATCCGGATCAGGTATCTCTTTCCCCTTTCTCTGTTCCTCTTAGGTTCTGCTCAACAGGGAGTTGTTCTCTGTTTCTTTCCTTGCTCGACTGGGAATGCATGTTACATGTGTTTTTATTTTAGCAAATACCTCATGATGGGCTTACAATTAATTGTTGGCATCATAATGGGCTAGATTAAATATAACTTTGGGAGAAATGGCATGCTTGCTTCTCTATTCTATTAGTCTCATCTCGGTATTTTAAAACATAGAACGGGAGAGGGAGGCCTGAGCGAGAGATGAATTTAGGATTTGGGGCTTTTTTTTAGGGAGAAAACAAAAATTCTTATATTATAATAATAATAATATTATTATTATTATTACTATTATAATACGCTCCATTTTATGTATTTTCTCTCAGACATGCTATTGTCTTGAAATGAATATCCTCTTTAGGAAAAATCAGCGTTCCGGACGCACCGGCGCAGTCTATTTCGTCATCCAGGGCCGTCCGGGTAATCTTGTCGCCGATCGCGTCAAAAACGCGTCAAAATTTGATTTTCATCAAAATTTTGGTTCGAGCTCAATTGATCAGGATGGTGTAGATGATTGCCATGAGATGTTTAGAAAAGATTTGAAGTGATTTCGAGTTGATCGGGAGTGTCAACTTGGTGAATTTTGGGCATTTAGCCGATTTGGGGATGTTGAGCTAAAGTTAGGTCTAGGTTAGGCTAAGGTCGGGTTAGGTCCAAATTGTTGATTGAGAATGGTTTATAGGAACATCATGAAGTGTTTTCAACATAAATTGGGTGTCTTATTTGAGGTTAGAGCAATGAATTTGGTGGAATTTAGGGACAGCCAATTTGGGGGCAAATTTGGGGATTTTTGGACTTGGGTTAAAATTGAGTGTAATTGAGGCTTCACCAAGGCCAATTGAAGGTCAAGTTTGGTGTGTAGGATTGTCATGAAGAGTTTTTCAACGTAAATTGTGACAAATTGAGTAGGCTGTGGGGTTTAATTTGGTGGTATTAAGTCATAGGGTCAAAGTTGGGGGCTTGACTTAGATCAAAATTGAGCTCAAAGTATGGGTCAATTAAGCTTGAATTTGGTTTAGATTGGTCATACGAAAGATGAATTTAAGTTTAGGATTGAAATTTGGGAAAATTGGGATCAAATTGAAGTCAATTGGTTTCGGGGGCAAAAAAAGGCTAAATTGGGTAATTGGTGAAATTGAGGTACCAACCATCTTGATTTGAGCCACGGACCAATGGAATCTCCATTTGGGTCCTCTATGTACTGATGCTAACTAAACCCCAAAGTGGGGCTAAAGGGTCTAGAAGACCATCTACATGAGTCTCCTAAATGAACGAGGTATGAAAGCCAACAAGCTTGGGTTCGGGGTTATGAATGGGGGTGAAAGTGAATAACAATGAGTGAACAGCTCCAGACCAACATCCAGGGCCAACTCTAAGGTCAAACAGTCTTATGGGAACTCATCTCGAGCTACTCTATATTGACCCCAGCTACTAAGTGCTAGAGGCTAAGACCAATATAGGAAACTTCAAGTTGAGCAAAGAGAAGTTTAGAATTTCTGAAGGTGATGGTTTCTTTTTTAGTTTTCTAGGAATAATCAATTGAAAAGGAAGGTGATGGTTTCTTTTTTAGTTTTCTAGGAATAATCAATTGAAAAGTTCTATGGCTAGACCCTAGGCTACTATAGAGGAAAAACTAGACCTCAACCAAAAGTGAGGTCAACAGGAAGGTTGGGTCGGGAGCAATGTGTGAGGATGTGGAAGGGAATAGGGGAAGATAATCACCACCTCGAGAGAGTCACAGCCGGAGCATCACTTAACCCTCAAAGACAACTCTTGAAGGGAGGAAGGGTGTCGGCGGCTATCCTACGCAAACTTAAGTCAAAACATGAAAACTTTAGAACAAGAATCACATATTTGAGCCCTAGATAACTAGGAAGGGATCCCTCTATGGAAAGGAGGCGCCAATCCATCGTGGAAGAGTTGATGGGCTCTCTCGGGTTTGACCTAGACAAAAGATATTGTGGGAGAAGCCCGCAGCTCCCTCTGCTCCGTGTCTGCCGCTTTATTCGCGCGCCTACATCGCATTGTGCAACCAACCTTTGATTGACCTAATCATGATTAGTTCATTAATTAATGGTTAGGTGTGTGGTGTAATGAGAACAGATGTTTTCTCATTATTATTAGCATTTTAAGTTTCTGGTTTATGAATTTTTTTTCTTAAATGGTATGGGGGTAAAGAAGCCTGCGAAATGCATCGTCTCAATTTCATATGTAAATAATATAGATAAGAAAGAACTCTTAAAATGAACATTTTTATTTTACATTTTAGAGAATTCTTTCATATTTTCTTGGATGCGTCCATTGAATAGATAGCTTAACTTTATAGCCATGCCTTACTTTATCTTACAGTTTTGCATATTAAATGTTTTTGACTGGTATAGGATATAAGAATGGTTCTTAATAAAGGGTTAGCATTTGTTTCATTTAATGCAGATCTTCAAAGAATGCCAAACATTTGATGATTTTGGAAATTCCTTTGAACTATCTCTAGTCACTTGCAAGTGCATTGGAGCTTATGTTAGGAGTAAGAAAAATCAGAATCAGGTCTTCTCTTTACCCCTTACTAACATTTATATTGTTCTGTAGGGATTGTCCCTTTTTTGTTTCCCTTTTTAAGTATTTTGTCAAGGTAACTTGCTTCAGGCTTTTCAGCAATGTTTATCAATCTATTAAATTCAAGTTCGAGCTCCACGGTTATGGATATTTCGTGAGGAGTTCCATCTATATTCTATTAGCTGACTTGATGATACTGCAAACCACCTATTTATAATAACATTAAAAATTTAATTTACTTCCTCGTTTGACATATTTCTAGTACCCATGTAATCTAAAAGGTATGATTTAAGGACACTCATTGAGGTGATGAACTGAGATTAAGCTTTGAGCTATTTTTTGGCTATAGGTAAGCTTAAGCTCGTTTCTTCCTCATGCTATCCTGCTCCTTTTCAGGGGCTCAAGGTTTAGGTCATAGGGACAGAGTCTAACTCAACTCTTTAAATCCATCTCATTCGCCTAACTAACCTTCCTTTGACATTCTTGAGATATGCTTGACGTGATTGACTGAATATTACATTTGTTTCAAATCCCACAGATTTGCTGGTTATGGCAGAAGGTAAAGTCAAATGATGACCGGGGTTTTCAGCGATTTCTTGATAATGTACAATATAGAAGCAGCGGAATATTGCGTTATGAACGGGTCTTTGGAGATGGTTTTGTAAGTACAGGAGGAATTGGTACGTAGATGGGCTTACTTTGCATCACGGTTTTACTTGCAACCTTAAGTTTTCACTAGTTTATTCAATGTTTCCTGTTAATCTTTCTATTGTAAGATTCAATATTTTCAGTTAATCCCATTTTGTAAGAAAGACTTTGCACAAGGGTTAGTTCAGAAACTTTACATAGCTGAGGGTTATTAATTTGCAATTTTTTGGCCGAAATTTCTAAATGTATAGCACTTAGGGAAGATTTGGATTCATTTATTAATTTATTTTTTTTAATGTTTTAATCTTTTCGAAAACATGTCCTTTAATTAGAGATCGTTTGGTAACATCATCATTTTTTAAAACTAAAATAATTTATTTTCTAATTTTATTAAATATAGTACCGAGGTTAATTTTATGTGTTGATAAGATGGCCAATTAATTGTTATAATTAATTAGAATAAGTTGAGTAATCAGGGATAGTTAGCTATGGTATAGTAATTAAGTGTGGATTATTGATTGGCTAGTTAAAATAAATTATCATTGCATATACAACAACAACAAAGCCTTAATCCAAGCCTTAATCCTACTACGTGGGGTCGACTACATGAATCTTTTTTCTCCATTGCGTCCTATTTAGTGTCATATTTTCATTTAGTTCTAATAAATTAAGATCATTTTTAATACAATAAACCTAGGTCTTCCTAGGTCTACCTCTGCCTTTTTTAACATAAGTCAATCTAAAACATCTACTCTCATAATCGGATCATCAGATGGTCGACACTTAATATGACTAAACCATCTAAGACGACTTTCTCAAATTTTGTCTGTCACAGGAGCTACACCAACCCTATCGCAAATATATTCATTTCGCATTTTGTCTCTAGGTGTAAAGCCACTCATCCACCTAATCATTCTCATCTCGGCAACACTTAACTTAGTATTATGCTTCTCTTTTAAAGGCCAACATTCAACGCCATAAAGCATTGCAGGTGTCACCACCGTCTTATAAAAGTTTCCTTTTAGTTTAAGCGGTATTTTTCTATCACACAAAAGGCCCGAAGCATTCCTCCACTTCAACCAACCAACTTGAATTCTACTATTAACATCCCCATCTATATCACCATCGTTTTGAACAACAGACCCGAGATATCTAAATCGTTCACGCCTTTTAATAATTTGATCACTCAAAATTACGCTTATGTCACTAGAGCCACTACTACTAAAATTTTATTCCATGTATTCAGTTTTAGTTTTACTCAAATGAAGGCCTTTGGACTCCAATGTAGACCTCCATAATTCAAGTTTTTCCTGGGCTTTTTCTCTCGTTTTATCCACGAGAAGAATATCATCAGCAAAAAGCATACACCAAGGTACATCCTCCTGTAGATGTCCAGTAAGACCATCACATCCTCCTGTAAATGTCCAGTAAGACCATCTATAACTAAAGCAAAAAGATATGGGTTTAAAGTCGATCCCTGATGTAATCCAACAGAAATAGGAAAATATTTGGTCAATCCTCCTTCTGTTTGAACACAAGTAACAACTCTAGTATACATATCTTTAATGACTTGAATATAAGTCATATCAACACCTTTCTTCTCAAGAACTCTCCAAAGGATTTCTCTTGGAACCTAAACATAAGCTTTTTCTAAATCAATAAAAATCAAATGTAGATTCTCCTTATTATCTCTGAACTTCTCCATCAAACTTCTCAATAAATGTATAGCTTCCATAGCAAACCTGCCCGACATAAATCCAAATTGATTATGAGAGACCTTTGTACTACGGCTTAACCTAAGTTCAATTACCCTCTTCCATAAATTTAAAGTATGACACATCAACTTAATTTCTCTATAATTTGCACACTCTTATGCATCTCCTTTATTCTTAAAAATGAGGACCAAAATACTCTTCCTCCACTCCTCAGGAATCTTTTTAGTTTTTAAAATAATATTAAAGAGTTTAGTAAGCCAAGAAACTCTCAAATCTCCTAAAACTTTTCTATACTTCATTTGGGATATTATTAGGTCCTACAGACTTTACACCCTTGGTTTTTTTTAAAGCCTCATCAACTTCTTTTTTACTAATAGGATGACAAAAATGAAACGTTTTATTATTATTAACTATATTAAGATCACTAAGGATAATCGTATTTTCATAAATTTCATTAAAAGTTTATCAAAATAACTCAACCACCCATGTTGAATATCTTTTTATAAGAAAAATACTTTTTGATTTTCATCTTTAATTCACTTTACTTGAGTTAAATCTTTATTTTTCTTCTCTTTGTTTGACTAGTTTATACATATAATTTTCACCCTTCTTAGTATCTAATTTATTATAAAGATCATTAAAAACAGAATTTTTAGCGTCACATATTGCTCTTTTAGACTCCCTACGGGTCGTTACATATTTTTCTAAGTTTTCTAATCTTTTATAATTAAACCAATTTTTACAACATAACTTCTTATGTTTTATCTTTTCTTGCACATTATTATTCCACCACTAACTATTTATATTTTAAAAAAAATTCTTTTGATCTCCAAGTACATCTTTTGCTACTTGTTTAATAGTGTTTGTTACTTTATCCCTTATATCATTTGCGTCATCATGAACATCCCAAATTTTAAAATCTTGAGTTTTACTCGTAAAAATAATTTTATTTATGTCATTTAAGTTCCCCCATCTAATTTTACGATGATGAGTCATGATATTCTTTATTTTACAACTCTTCATCTTCAAATCTAGAACTAATAAACGATGTTGGGTACTTAAATCCTCACTTTGAATGACCTTACAATCTTTATAATCTCGACGATAATCTCGACGACTTTATAATCTCGACGATCTCTTCTTCTCATAAGAAAATAATCAATCTGTTCTTTATTAGATCCATTCTTTTAATAAATAAGTTGCTCATCTCTTTTCTTGAATAAAATATTAGTAATAACGAAATCATATGCTAAAGCAAAATCTCAAATAACTCTATCTTCTTCATTAATCACTCCAAAACCGTAGCCACCATGAATTTTTCTAAATTTTTTTACCACTCTACCGACATGTCCATTTAAATTTCCTCTATTAAAATTATTTCTTCAAGAGGTATCAATTGTATTAAGTCTTCTAAGTCATTCCACAATTTATCTTTAGATGCTATATCTAAACCTACTTGAGTAGCATAAACACTTATAATATTAAAAATTTTAGTATCAATGATAATCTTAAGGGCTATAATTCTATCTCAAACTTTATTAATTTTTACGACATTATCTTTCAAACTCTTATCTATAATTACACCTACACTATCTCTAGTGCGACTCTTACCAAAATATCGAAGTTTAAAACGTAAGTTATCCATCTCCTTAGTCTTTTCTCCAACCCATTTAGTTTTTTGAATATATAAGATATTAATCTTTCACCATTGATAGTATCTATATTCCAAGATCTATCCTAATATTAATTTTATTAGTTTAATGGACTGATTTATTTACCCGTATCTGTCTGTGATGTGGGAACCCTTGCTTATTTGACACTACACCCGGGGCCTTTGCATATTTTTTACTGTATTCAGGCTATACAACGCGTCGCTTCCAGGGAACGCTCTAGCACTTTCACGAAGATCAAAAGGATTCATGTCATGATTTTTTTTGACAAGTTTAACGTTGGCTGGTTACTATATATATTAAGGATAATTTATATTTAATTTTGTAGTTATGATCATTAAACTTCATCATTTCGCAATTACAATAAATAAGTGTAGACTGATAAATTAATTGATTAATTAGTCAGATATAATTAAATATGTAGATTGGTTAGCAAATAGTAATGATTTAAATATGATTATTAAGATTTATTAGTGCTAAGTTATGATAATGAAGCATGTCATATATGATTAATTACTAGTAGCAAGTGGAAATTATTATTATTATTATTTAATGTTTGAAAATAAAATGATCTGTTTTGCAAAAAATTTTTGCTTGTTTTGAAAGCATGACAACTGTTGAAGTATTCTGATTAATTCGGTGAATTTGAGATAATTATTATAATGCTAAGGTCGTTAAGATATTATTAGTGTTTTAGTATAGCATTTAGGTTTGGATTGATTATTATAGAGATTATTAAATAAATTGTCAGTAAATCTTAAGGGCAATCAAAGCATTTAATTAAGATTATTTAATTACACTGCATAGGTCTGGATAATAAAATAATTGATTAATTGCTCGGCTGGAGATTGATTATGACGTAATTATGAGGCATCTTTTAGTTTATTAAAGTAGAATAAGAATTTTAATTACTTTTAATTTGGTTAGTATTAGTTAGGTTAATTAAATTTAGAATAATTAATCAACCCATAATTGATCAAAGTAATGAATAAATATGCATTTACATAAGTTAAATAAGGTTACCGTGAAGATCCTTAAATTTTCATTTTTCTATTGAAGTATATTAATGTTAATGTTATAATTAATTAATTACGTATTGTCAATAATTAACTATTTATTGTTGCCAATTAAGAATTAAGACAATCTTTTTAATTTTTATAATTAAAATTTTTAATAAACTTCTAGTTTGAGTAATTAATTTATATGTAATTAATTAAGTATTAATTACTTAGCAAGTTACCAATAATTAATGTTGTAATTTTAAATTAATTAAGGCTTAAATTACATTTTACAGGATTTTTCATATTTGGCATTAATTATAAATGAAATACATTTGATTATAATAATTACAAATATGTTTTAATTATATTTTTAACTTTTTGGTTTGGCAAACATTTTTTATGTTCACGTTTATGAAAATTTAAATTAAGGTCTGCTAACATGTTTTTATTTTGGGTGAAAATAAAATAAAACGAAAACTAAATAGATCCAAACATGGCCTTAGCATTTAGGTGCAAATTGATTCGTGGATGACCTGTTGGGCTATTCTAGGTACTTTTTTTATGCGCATTAGCTCTAACTCTAAACATTTTGACGTAGATTCTTTCATTGTATCACATTGACTCATTTTTATTTGATCTCTCTTCAAGATTCTAACAGTTATACTATGGTTTTGTAATTTTAGGGTCTGTGTGGGATCATTTTTATTTTTTAAATTGTATTTTTTGTTTTTATTATATTTTATTTTATGTTTTGTTTTATAACAAAATATGTTTGATATATTTGATTAAGATATATTTGTTTTTAAGAACAATCAAAGCATCAAATAGTTATTTTGAGTATTTTCAAAAATATATTAATTTCTATAGAAATAAAAAAAAGTAAAAAAAATCTTAAACAAAGATGATTAAAATAAAAGAAAAACAAAAATAAAAAAAAAATAAAATTGATCCCAAAGAAGCACTTTGTTTTTAATATAGTCCTATGCTTTTCATTCGTGTTTTCCTTCTGAAGATATCAATACTACAATTTGTCCATAGGTGGGATATAATAATCTAGTTAGACTCGATCTATCATTTGCTGAATTTATTTGTGTTTTTCTTTTTTTAACCTTTTTTTTTACTGCTCGTTCTATCATTATTGCTAATAGTAGCTTTTTTTGTCAGAGACAACAAAGGAATTTGTTGCAAAATTAAAACTCAAGGCTGGACAGAAAGTTCTCGATGTGGGTTGTGGCATTGGTGGAGGTGACTTCTATATGTCTGAAAACTTTGATGTTGATGTGGTTGGGATTGATCTTTCCATAAATATGATTTCCTTTGCTTTGGAGCGAGCCATTGGGTGCAAGTACTCTGTTGAGTTCGAAGTTGCTGATTGTACTAAGAAAACATGTCCAGATGAGACATTTGATGCTATCTACAGCCGTGACACAATTCTTCACATACATGTATGTACGTTAAGTTTATGACTTTAATTTTTCATTGTTCTGATGCTTGCTGAAAAATTTTGAGGTTTTATTGCTCCTATAGTATCATATGTCTTAATTTTTTAATGCAACAAGTGCAACAACATATTAAATGATCTAGCTTGTCACTGTGGGCCCATTTGGTGACACAGCTGCAACATGACATCACAATTCATTTGTGTTTTGATACTAATTTGATCCAGAAATGATGATGTTGCTAAGAAGTTTTGAGCTGTTAGTCATTCTATAGTAATATATCTCATAACCTTTAATGTAACAAGTGTAACAATGCATTAAATGACCTAGCTTTTCACAATGTGCTCATTTGGTGGCCCAAATGCAACTTGAGAGCACAATGAAATTGTATATAGATACTAATTTGATCCGGGAATGATGATGTTGCAAAGTTCTATGGAACTGATAAGATGGTATGCTTCATATGGTTTTTGGGTTTTCTGGTATTGTGTAGTGTTTCATGCATCAATCTACGGCGAGACATTCTAAAAGCATATTAGGGATAGGAATATACAAAAATATGAAGGAAGAGAGTGAGGGGGCAGAGAATGGCATAAGAAATGGAATGGCAAGTTATGAATATTTCATTGAATAATCTATTCAATGTCCTAACTTAGGCCTAGGTGTTCTTACTTTGGGTTAAAAGCAAATGAAGTATTAAAACATTGTTAGAAAATGAATCCTAATAAAATTTAATAAGGTAGGAAATAAGCCCAACAAAATTCTAAATAGAGAAACAAAATATTTAATTAATCGCTTTATTGATGCTGAGCAAATGTTTGGAACATATATTTGGCATGAGTTTTCTTGAGGTTTTTAAGAACTCTCCTATGAATTTTTAAGTACTTATTCAAAAGATTGGGAGAGATACGGTGATACCCATCACAATTCATCCACGAGTCATTTGGTGATGGATGAATCTTAATAAAATAAAAACAATATTAATTGTTTAAAGGGCTGGAGATAATCTCATTTGAATGAATTTACAACCCATGTTGGCGACGAGGAGAAAGGAGGAACCCTAAACCCTACATACTACAATAGGGAAGATCTCGAACCGGCATAAAAGATTTTGAAACGCCTAAGCATACTTTTATAGTAATCAATATGGGTTGGGTCGGGTCGGGATTCAGGCTTTTCAATTTTTTATGTAAGAATACTATTCTATATACTTTATGCGTGTTAATTTTTAATTAGAGTTTGAACGTAACTCTACGTTTGGAATCCAGACGTAATATTTTATTGCAACTATTTCCGCTCCCCTCATTCTCTCGTTTAGAAAACATTGAGCTACATAAATTCTCTCTGCTACTCTGTCTCAAATGAAAACCCTTTTCCCAACCCAAAGCTCTCTCCATCCCCTCACATCCATCTCTCTCGTCCATGCACGCATAGGAAAACCACAAACAACTCTCAGCCGCAGCCCGAGCCCCCTTTTTCTCCATCTCTTGCTATTGGGGTCAAATGCTCGCTTCCCAGATGCCGCTCGAGCCTCTCCTCTCATAATCAACTTTTGTGTGATACAAAGACATGATCGAGACATACAAAAGACCTTCAAAACTTCTAATTTATTTTTCACACAAAAGCGCACGCAAGAGACGAAACCCCTCCCTATTGTTCATACTGAAGCCTTGCCTCCCAAATTTGTGCGAATACTAGCCTTATTATATAAGAAAAAGAAAGTTAAATATTTGTGTATTCATCGCATCATTGAGCTTGCTTTGCCTTCATCGTCACCGTCTCATAAGTAAATATATTTAAGCAGGGAAATTGTACTTGTGTCACTTTCATGGATGTTAATTTTTGCTCCTCGATTACACCGTTTTACGACATCGATCAACATGTTTTATATTCACTTTGGCAGATTGACATTCTTCCTTGTTCTCCCTAACCGGAGAAGACGTTAGAATGTTGCCAAAATTTTTAGGTGATTTTTGACTTGTAAATAAGTTAAAATGCGAGCTTTTTGAACTTATAAAATTACCTAAAATTGAACTATTTGGATTTACAAAAATCTCTTATAATTTGAACTTATAAATGACTTGAAATTAAAAAAATTGAATAACTCAATATATGACAAACTTTGAATACAAAAAACAAAAAAAAAACTTGGAATGCCGCACTTGCCACTGAATTCGTAATAAACTTACTAATGAATAGAATACGATATTTAAAAAGCTTAGAAATAAACTTTTTCATGCTTCAATGTATTCATTCAAATAAGACAATTTTATATTGCTTCAAAGTCTTACATGTGCCCTTTAAAACAATTCTTGAAACAATGTCTTAAAAGCTTGAAAATAATTTATAAATGTGCAATTGCATTTTATCAGCATCTCAGATATTCTTTTACACTTTAAAGGGCACATATATGCATATGATTGTCATGATTCATATAAATGCATAGTTTTGATACAATAAAATTTTTGCACAACTTTAAAATCATAGGTTCACTCGGGCTTCGACGATCATGTTAAGTGATTAAATTCATTCGTCATGAGAATGCTACACAAACTGATTATTAGTATCATTGAGCTTGTTTTGCCTTCATCGTCATCGGTCTCAGAAGCAAATATATAAAAGCAGGGAAATTGTATATGCATTACTTTCATGCAGGTAAATTTTTTGCTCCTTGATTAGTGGGTTCACAAAGCAATCCGCCAGTTGCCCTCCCAGCGAGTCGCGATCCCGTCGTTGCCTTCCTAGCGAGCCGTGAGCTCGTCATTGTCTTCCTAGTGAGCTTTAGTAACCAAAGTCTACACGGATTGAGTTGTGTTGAACGCCAAACGCTTGGCTACTAGGTTAGGCTCTGTTACCATAAAGAATTAATTGATCTTGAACACTTACCCATTAGGTTAGTGACTTGGGCTTATATAGAGCCTTATAACATTTACAAATAAATCCTTAAACTTCTTCTATTTACAAATAGGACCCGACATTAGATACAAATGTCAACATACAATGTAATGTCTTCCTAATATGTCTTCTAAAAATTTGATCCGAAATAATAAACAAAAAGCACTTTAACACAACGGGATTCTTTAGAGAGAGAGAGAGAGGTAATGTCTTCTAAAAATTTGGTCCAAAATAATATACAAAAAGCACTTAACACAACGGGATTCTTTAGAGAGAGAGAGAGAGAGAGAGAGAGATGAAAATCTTAAATCTTAAATTGATGCCCCACATATTCATCTCATTCCCGGATAAAACCAGCACGCCTTTCTTTGCAAATAACCAAATAATCTCATTCCAGGATAAACCAGCGTTATTTAGAAACTTCTTCAAGTGGCTGAAGCCAGGTGGAAAGGTACTCATCAGTGACTACTGCAAGAGCTCAGCAGATTCATCCAAGGAATTCGCGGAGTATATTGAACAGAGAGGATATGACCTGCATGACGTGAAGTCTTACGGCCAGGTTAGCTTACTTTTCAACTTTGTTCATCACTTTTTGTCCTCAAACTGTTTTTATTTTTGTTAATATTAATACGAATGACCAAAATCCCATATGAGGAGTGAGTTTCACTCGTTTTGTTTGTGCGGCTTCGTAGATGCTCAGGGATGCTGGTTTCCAGTATGTTACTGCTGAAGATAGAACAGATCAGGTGATTTTAGCAACCCATTCTTCTCTATTCTGTTTACTTGACTTCTTTTCCACGCTTATTTCTATTATATTTTTTCAGTTCGTGGAAATTCTGCAGAGGGAACTGGATGCCGTTGAGAAGAATAAGGAACAATTTATCCGTGATTTTTCAAAGGTTTTCCGTTCAGCACTGCTTTTGATTCTTTTAGTGTTTTTTTCTTTTTTTTTTTAGGTATATTTCTAATATTTTAATAAAAAAATATTGATTTTATTTTCTTTCTTTCTGTATTTAAAAATCAGTTCAATACTTCTGGAACAAAAAACTTATATTACTCTTAAAATGACAGAATCAAAGGGCTTATTTGATTGCTTGAAAAAAAAAGTTTATACTATAAAAAATATTGAATTTAGTTGATGTGAGGGCAACAAATATCATATTCATATAACCTATCATTTTATCTTTCAGGAAGACTACGACGAAATAGCACGACGAAATATCATATTCATATAATCTATCATTTTATCTTTCAGGAAGACCACGACGAAATATCATATTCATATAATCTATCATTTTATCTTTCAGGAAGACTACGACGAAATAGTGGATGGCTGGAAAGCTAAGCTCAAGAGAAGCAAGAAGGGTGAACAGAGGTGGGGCCTCTTCATAGCTAACAAGAACTGATGCCATTGTGAGGCTGCTCTTTCTAAACTTTGGTAACTATAGATACTTTGACTTATTATCTCTATGTATTCTATAACTACTACTTGGGATGCTAATAGACTTCTTTTCAAGCTTTCTTCTGATGGCAAATCTTTCAAATATTATTATTGCTGCTACATCCCGGCCATGGTCTATTTTTTGTGCTTGTGAATTTTTTCAGAATTAGGATATTTCGATAAAAAAAAAAGAGGAAATTTACATAACACACAAGTTTACACTTCTGACATATTGGTTCATAAATTTATGCATGAAAATGTATTTCATTTTTTTCCAAAGACGACGGTGGTAATATTTTTTTATGTAATGTTAAAGATTTGAGTGTCGCGTGTAAATATGAAAGTTTAGGTATTAGATATGTAAATACATAAGAATTGTGTGGTGTGTTTGTAAATGCCTCTAAGGGTTTAAAAGAATATGGTGATGTCTTGAAGAATATAAAGATATAATAGTAATAGTAAAAAATTGTAATTGTATTCGCGTAAAATTCCCTTTTAATGAAGTTGGTATATAATGTTTATGTGGAGCTTGGTGGCAGAGTAAAAATTTGATGCAGGATTTGAGGGCAAGTTTTAAATTAAAGAACTTAACCT